CCTTACGCCTAGGTGGAGCTGGAGACTGGAAGTCCCGAGGCGGGTGGATCCGAGCGCCCAGCTGGCGCTGACTGAGGGCGAGCTGAGGGACTGACAGGAACCAGTGGAGACAGAGCTGAGGAACTGGCTGGATTTAGGAGAGGAGGTGGGAGAGGGAGGCTGGGAGGGAACACGAGAGTCACAGGGAGCTCAGGAAACACAGGAGGGCTGGACGGAACCAGCGGAGATTCATGAGAAACAGAAACACTGGGAATCACCTCCCCAACCCAGTCGATCAAATCAATATCAAATATGTCCATAAGTTCCTCAATATATAGTCCAGTGGCCATTTGCAGCTCACCCTCAGCGGCGGGAGTGTGGGGGGGGCTTCCCTCCAAGCCCTCGATCTCCACCAAAACTCCCTCAGGAACGGACGGTGTTGCCAGCTCACGCACTTGGTCAGAACATTCTTGAGGCTCAGGCTCCGGGGTGATGATAGGCTCAGTCGCGGGTATGCGCGCTGGCTCACGTGTCGTGGCAGTCTCAGGCTCTCCGTCTGCGGTGGGCTCTGGCAATAGTGCCGTGCAGCGGGATGATGGCTTACTGGTCTCTGGTTCGTGAGTGGGGCTGGAGATGTCCTCCTCGGCGGGGCAGATGGCGAAATACAGTCCATTTCTCTCTAGCACCCACTCCACAAAAGCGGCGAAATCCTCCTCGGGACCGTTCACTGGCAGGCATGCCTTACACTGCTCGCTCAGGCTGGTGTAATAGAATACGCAGAGCGAGTGGTCAGGGAAGTGCGTAAGGCATGCCAGAACTAAAAAGTCCCTGGTATGGTCCTCCAGCGAACGTTCCTGTTGCTCCAGGCACAGGAGTTGAACAGCTGGGATATCCATTCTGGGAGGAGGAGAAAATTTGGATTTGTTGTGCGTAATGTCTTTCCTGTTTTTTTCCTGTCCAGAGACCACAGATCCCATCTCGCTGGACGACTGCTGTAAGGATGGCAAAGAAAGAGGCCAGGAGTCTCAGGACTGCACGAGTCTGCCGCTCATCTCCGAATCCACCACCTGCAGGTAGGGGTGTGCGATATATATCGTCTGCAATAATATCGTAATTGTTGTTTTAATGATGTGCGATTTCACATTATCGAGTATTTTGCAAAAACCAAACAAAACACCCCTACAGAGCGCACGCTTACATTACATGAAGTCTAGAGTTCTTTCACTGCATGACTAAGTCTATTAAAATACATTTAGAATGATCACAAATTCAAGACATGGGGCAGAAAATGTTTTCATTTGCTTGGTAACAGCCTAAATGTCTTATTATTCCAATTCACTGATTAAATGTAAGAATTTGACTCAAAAGTTAATGGACACTTTTAGAAAACTGGCTTTATTAAGGTAAAAATGCCCATAAAATGTAAAAATCAGTTTGAACTTATTGGAAAAGATTAATTTCTATCAGTGTGAACTGACCACCACACAGAATATGAAGAATATCAAAAACTTTAAGAGCCGGCAGTCCATGGTTGTCCTTAAGATATCAGCAAAATAATACACTCAGCAAAATATTGTCTAATTATCGTTATTGAATAATCCTAGAAAATATTGAGACACTATTTTTTGTCAATATCGCACACCCCTACCTTCAGGTTTGTTCCTGGCCATCTGAGATCTACCACATTTCCACAGAAAACACTTAAAAGAGAAACAAATCAGTTTGTTATTTTGTTAGTTCAGCTGGCACGACACTACAGGTGAATGGGGTAAAAAAACCTGAAATAACACTTTCCCCAGTTGATTAACCACAGTACATTAAGACATTATATGTCGTATTACAAGTTTTATGAAATGTTATGTTTAAATATGCAAATTAGGCTTTTTATCTAATTACATATGCACCAATTTGCATACATATCCAGAGCATATCTGAACGTTGGATTTGTTTGATTTTGTTGACGTTAGGTTTTTACAGAGGGGATTTTGGATCACTTCATAAATCAGAAAACACTGCCAACAGACAGAAAAAAAAAAACATTTTCACCAGGTTTTTAGGAATAAAATGTTATATAAATCAGTCTGAATGATATATGAACACACCCATCTATAAAAACCTTCAGAATATAGAACATAGTTAAGCGTGTAAGTGCTGCTGAAGTGGAGAAACAAACTCATTTTGAGATATCCGGCTTTAAAAATATGCACTGTAATTGAAATATACAGATGCAAATAAATACAGTGTAATAAAATAAATACTATTGTTGATGTTTTCTTTCCATTAGTCAACAAGTTATGGGAGCAAAATAGGCCAAAATTTCAAAACTGAATTGATTTGAATTGAAAAAGCAATGGTTTTGCCTACAGTGTCTCTCCTTAAAGGAATAGTTCACCCCAAAATGGAAATTTCCTGAACATTTACTCACCCTCAGGCCATCCAAGATGTAGATGAGTTTGATTCTTCATCAGATTTGGAGAAATTTAACATTGCATCACTTGCTCACCAATGGATGTGAATGGATGCCGTCAGAATGAGAGACCAAACAGCTGATAAAAACATCACAATAATCCACAAGTAATCCACACCACTCTAGTCCATCAGGTGGTGAAAAGCTGCATGTTTGTAAGAAACAAATTTAGCATTAAAACATTTTTAACTTCAAACCATTGCTTCTGGCCAAAATACGAGTCCATAATCCATAATAACACTTCCTCCAGTGAAAAAGTCCATCTCATCTGAATCAGGAGAGAAATCTGCACAGATCAAGCACCGTTTACAAGTGAACACAGTCCAAAACAGCTTTAAACAAAAATCTGGGTGGATTTTGATGTGAGCGACAACAGGAGATGGACTTTTTCACTGGAGGAAGTGTTATTATGGATTATGGACCAGAAGCAACGGGTTGAAGTTAAAAATGTCTCGATGGATTTGTTTCTTACAAACACAGCTTTTGGCTTCACAAGATGTGAACTGATGGACTGGAGTGGTGTGGATTACTTGTGGATTATTGTGATGTTTTTATCAGCTCTCATTCTGACGGCACCCATTCACTGCAATGTGATGCAATGCTACATTTCTCCAATTCTGATGAAGAAACAAAGTCATCTACATCTCGTGTGGCCTGAGGGTGAGTACATTCTCAACAAATTTTCATTTTTGGGTGAAGCATTCCTATAAAAGTAAATACTCAGTATTTTAGAGGTATAGGCATAATTCACCACAACTTAGTTCCCGCCGGATGGATAAAAACCTGTGCATGCATCCAATCAGATTGACGCAATTCTGGGTTCCCAAAAGCGATTTTTGCTTAAAATATGCATTAGATGGTCTTATGCAGAAGCAATGCATCATCGGTAGAAGTGGCCACGATCGTGTTACTCTGGCATCAGACGCGTTTGCCTTGGCCTTCCAAGTGATCTGGTGTTTGTATAAATGAGAGAGTGCGAGAAAAAGGTGGTGATGGTTTGGATCTCTTTGGTAGGGGGGCTCGCAGAAACGGGGCGCTTAGGCGAACGGGAATATTTCCAAATCCAGGAAATTCCACTGAGGTGAAACTCTAGTCAGACGGAGAAGAGAGAGCGACCCGAATAACAGGAAATCTGCAGATTATTTCAGACACCGAAAAGGGGAAAAACAAGTGAAAGGAGAAATCGCAGAAGACTTCTCCCTTAAAAGGCTGTTCGGAGGTGCTCCACAGACGGGTGTCTTGGGCTTTCTTGCGAGGATGATTGTGAAAGAGGGTGAAGCAAGAGCGAAAGAGACAAACAGCGATCGTCTTACCGTAAAAACTGGGCTTCATGCGTCAGTGCTGCGGTCCAACCTGGAGCAGAACCAAACAGTGACGCTCTGCAGTCAACAGAGCACTCGACTTCTGCTCTCCAACATCTGTCCTGTGGTTTACGATGGCCAGGAAGCAGAATTCATTTAACAAAAGTGAATTAGATGGAACTTTGGGGTCTTGCACAATCTGAATCGTCTTTCCTTGGTCCTTTAGTCTGTTTACAGTGCTGTACAGATTACTTACAAATTGTAGTCCACTACTGGTTACAAATTACATGATGAAAATTTGTAGTTAGTAATGTAATCTATTAGATTACACAGTTTATTCTGATTACTTTAGGTTAGAGTACACAACTCGTTCATCACATAGATCTGAATAGGTTTATTTTGTACCATAATTATAACAGAAATACAAATATTCTATATAATAATTAGAAATAATATATAAGACTATATCAAAATAGAAAATATGATTATTTATTTTTATTATTATAAATAATTAAATATTATAATAATATATATGTAAATTATGAATTATTTACTGCCATTGTGTGAATAATAATATAATCATTTAATGAATAAAAACTGGTCTAATTGAGTATTTTAAAATTGTAAAATAATTATATATATGCTGGAAAACAAATTGGGGTAGAAACAGTTTTCACTCAGAAATTGCTTGTAAATTTCACAAGAAAATACTATGTAAAACTGAAATAGCTATTTTCTTGTAAAACGTACTCCAAAAATCCTATTTGAAAATTCAAGAAATCATTATTTTTACAGTGTATGATTATAAAATCTTATTACAAGTACTTTAAATACTAATTACTTAATTTTGTGATCTGATTATGTAATCCAGATTAGATATAATCACTTAATAGCCAGCACTGTGTATTTATTATTTAGCTGATACTCACATCTAGTCCACTAGAAAACCCAGAGGTTACGGGTATTGCTCAAGGACACAATGGACACGTTGTGCTCGACCTCTATAATCTGTTGATTAGCACTGATCTGACTGTGTGTGCTTGTCTCGTAGGATCGCTCAGGAACAGTGCTGTACTGCGGTTCTTGAAGACAACATATGCACCAGCGGCATCAATATGGCGAAGGACCAGGGCAGTTGTGATGCACTCTTGTCCAGCAGCACATGTGAAACGAAGACGGCTAAGGTACTGGATTTTCTCAGAACATGCATATTAATGCTGCATATGATATTTGCATGTTTTATGAATTTACTTTATTCAGTAACAAAATGTTTTTTGAAAATTTTTTTGTTATTATATTTATTATTATATTGTAATTTATTATAATGTAATGTATCACATTGCATTTTTTATATATTATTATTATTAGATTAAATATTATTTATATATGTAAATATTATTTAAATGTAATAATACACATAGTATATAATATATTCAATATCGACTATTTAATAAAAAAAAATAATATAGTGTACATTTTTAAATATTTTAATATACATGTTTAGTTATATTATATAATATATTATTATAGATTATTATTTGATTAAAATATTATGTAATATCTCTCTCTCTCTATATATATATATATATAAATATTAAATATAGTTATTATAGTTTTATATATATATTATACAAAATATTATTATTATCAGATTAAAATATTTACTCTCTCGCTCTCTCTCTCTATATATAATAATTGTAGTAAATAATTTAATATATGTACATTAAATATGTATACATTGTAATAATAATAATAATATATACATTGGTGATTATGTCGAGGCTTCAAAAGGTCAAATGCAGCCTTAAAAGCCAGCTGACTTTGTACTTATTAGACAGTAATGTAGCTCACTTGGGCTAATTTTTGGGCCAGATTGTCTTCATTTTGAACAGTATATGTATCATTTTATCCTTTAAGACCTATAACAAACGTCTTTTTGTGAAATGTTTAGCTTGTAAAATGTACTCACTCTATCTCTCTTCAACATAAATGACATCCGCGTTTATATTTCACACCTAACGCTTTGAAATTCACATATTTTAGGTGTGATCTGAGTGTTTGTGGCTGTTGTGTGTGTGTTCGCTAGAGAGAGCTTGTACAAACACGTCTGTGTCAGACACTCAGATACACAATAAGATGATAAATGTGGCTTTTAAAGCCCAAACTCTTCGTCATGTAAACTCTAGAGATATTTCTCTCAGCACTGTTTACGTTGAGCAGGAGGGAACTTGTTTCTGTTATAAATACAGCTCCGATTATACCTCAGGATGAAGAATAGAGTGTCTCTTCCAGGTTTAACACACACCTGAGTGTGTTTGGACATTACAATCCTCCAGGTGTCTGCCGTCTTCTAGGAAGCATTCATCTCGCGCTGTCAGCGGGACTGTAAGAGTGTTTAAAAGCACCTGTCAGACGCATTGCTCTGCGTTATTAATGCGTTTATCGCTAACCACCGAGCCTAATTCATCTGAAACAGTTCACGGGAGGTATTAGATGATCTTAGGACAAGTTTAAATCGCCAGAACTGTTTGTGTTTCCTCTAAAACTCTAGATGAGCATTTTCTAGTGCTGTTTTCTGTTCTCAGAAACCTCGTTTGCTCAGTTTATTCAAATCATTCATGGATAAAAGATGCTCAGGCATTTGACCTAAAGGATAATTCACACAGAAAGTGATATTCTTGGGTCATGTGTGTCATGGATGAGAGATTTCCAGCAAATTTTGACTTAATTCTCAGTCTGTTACTCTGTCAAAACTTACTGTATGTAGTGCACAAGTAGTATGGACTACTTTTTTTTTAATTTTTTTTTTTTACTACATTTATGCTTCTTTTTATCCATTTTGGAGCTTGACATCATTTTTGCACTGAAAACAAACAAACAAATAAACAAATAAATAAAAAGGGAAAATATTTTAGTATTAGTATTTTCATGTTGTTTTCTTGTACAAATTTGTAAACATTCTTAAATCAAGATACTTTTACTTGAGAAGGAAAATAACGTCATTTATTAAGTCTTGTTTTCCAAAGAATGCATCAATATTAAGTGAGTTTGTGCATAAAACAAGAAAAAACATTGGCAAATTCACTTTATTTTGCTACATTTTTCAGAAAACAAAGACAATTTATTGCTTCTCAAATGCTTTTCGGATGCTAGAAGAGATCGTACGTCTAAACATCTGCTGTGGAAAGTATAAAGTATATTATTACATAAAATATAAGAAATGTATAATTCACTTAAAAAATAAAAATCTAAAATAATAAATTATATTTTATATTTTTATATATACATTTTTTTTTTATATAAATTATATTTATTATAGTATATTTATAATTATTTATTAAATAGTAAAATTCATGCGATGCTAGCCTAAGCATCAGGCAAAAGAAGTGATCTTATGTTTTTACATCAGTCTTAATGTCTTTAAAAACTATATTATTAGTTTATATTTTACTATATAAACTATATTATTAGTTTATAATTAAAATAAAATTGTATTAATTATTACAAATATATTTCTTAATATATCATATAAGATATATATTAGTGCTGTCAAACGATTAATCGCGATTAATCACATCCAAAATAAAAGTTTTTTTGTTTACATTATATATGTACATGTACTGTGTATATTTATTATGTATATATAAACACACACACATTCAGTATATATTTAGAAAATATTTACATGTACTGTATATACATTTATATGTTTATATTATTATATTTTATATTATATACAAATATATTTAATATATAAACATATTTGTCTTAAATATATACATGCATGTGTTTGTATTTATATATACATAATAAATATACACAGTACACACTCAAAAAACAGGTACAAATATAAAGTAATTATATAATCAGATAAAATAAAATAATACATTATATTTATTATAGTATATTTATATTAAAATAAAAAATGTCCATGTAAAAACGACATTATTACATTATAAATACAATATAAATAAACAAATATTAGATAAAATATATTATTTAATATGTAATTGTTTGCGTATAAATATACAGTATTTATATATATATATATATATATATATATTATATTTTATTATGTTTACACTGTTGATGACCTGTTCCTTTAATTAGCTTGTATTTATAATATAAACAGATCTATTTTTCCACATTTAGCTCCAGCTCTACATCTTAATCTCAGAAAGATCTGCAGAAGTGAGTAATCACTGACAGTGTGCGTCTGACTTGATCTGTGTCTGGGAAACAGGCCACGCTGCTTACGGTCAAGATCCGTCCTCTAGAGGAATATATTTTCTGTTTTCTCTCTCTTTCTCTCCTGCTTCAGTCTGTGTGGTAGGAAAGGATTCGTAGTTATTTTTCACATAGGTATGAACTCTGTTTGGTGGACAGACTCCAACAAATCATCAATAGACACAGCACTTCTCTGTGTCTGTATACCGCAGTAAATTTTACACTGCTCTGTTCTGAAACTCAGTAAATTACCTCACTGTCTGCTCCCTACATAGGCAGCTGCCTTCTAAGAAAGAGAACCTTATAAGTAACTGATATAAAACACTCTACATAGGCAGCAACATCAAGTGTAGCGAGAAAGATTTAAAATGTCACTAAGCTAACAGCATGAATCTTTAATAAGCCTAAAAATGAATAGCGCACACATTTTGGTTAAAATAAATATATATATCCCAATGTATATGTTTTCTTTTTTATATATCTTTATATATCTATATTTCAAATATGTATATTTGTATAAATTTATATAAATATTTTAAATTTTTGTTACATACAAACTCATAGAAAATAACCAAAACAATCCTAGGTTTTTATTTAGCACAGTGGCTAGATTAACAAATAACCAGACGCCACCCGATCTAAATATTCCCTCACAGTTTAATAGTAATGACTTTATGTATATTAAAATGTTGCCTTAATACGCTGCATATAGGAAACTCACTAGGTTTTGAACGGAGCATTTGAAATCACCTGCATAATTAATGTCTCTTACTTTCTCTTGAAAATGTAGTATAGTTTAAGCCTGTTGAAACAGGTTCATGATGTGCATCAGTGTATGTGTGCAGGTGTTTTAGGTACATACTGTGAGCGTACGATCTGTTTTCCTCGGGTCTCTGATCTTGAGTCTCTCTCCCTCTGCAGACGTGCTGTGAGTGCTGTTTGCTCGGCCGGGCGGCCCAGGAGCGAGGGCTGTCATGTGACCTCACCCTCGCTGTGTGGTACCAGTGCGGTCTGGTGTCCCGCGCCTGCTGTGTGGACCGATCGCCCAACAGCAACGGAAAGCCTGCACCGGGTCAGAACAAACAAACATGGAAAACCGATTTCTTGCTGTTTTGAAATAAGAGCGTTTGATGAATGCATGACTGTCGATATTCACAGATGTTGACAATTACAGCAGAACAGGTCATTTGCATGTAATCTTGAAGGTACAGTAGAAAAAAAGTCTGTTTAATTCTTAAGGATCAGAGAGGGAGAAAATGGACATGAAATACTAAATTATAACTTTATGGTGCAAAAAAAATGTAAAGTTTACATAAGTATCATTACAAGAAAATTCAGAGAGGAAATACAATACTACATCAAATAAAATGCTTGTAACTGCTCTTAAAACAGCAAAAACAGCCAACTTAAAATAATACAAAAGCTTGAAGACAGAAGGAGACAGAAAAAAGATTTGATAGAAATTGTATTCAAATTTTATAAAAGAACTAAAAAAGAAATGTATATAAGAATTATATATATATATATTTTGAAAAGTTTTTAGGCTACAAAAAATATATATATATATATATACACACACACACACACACACACACACACTGTATATATGAATTTATTGAAATTAGTATGAAATAATATTTAAAGTATTATTATTAATTATTAAAAAATAATTGGTTCATTGACAGTTTAAATAAAAAATGTTGAATCTAAAAATAATAATAAGTAGTATACATTTATATATATATGTATATATAAATATAAAATATAAAATTTTACTTAATTACATTAAGTTTTAAGGCTACACAAAAGATTCCTAAATGCATCTACTTTCGGAAGGCCAAATAAAGTACTTTTGCTTTCTCCTAGAAACACACAGTGTCTCCCTGACATGGCTGGTTCAACACTAACTGCGGTTACTGAAACCACGCCTTCTTTCTTTGCGTGCACATTTGGGCGCATTATGCAAATATTCCCACATAGTGACCTAGATATGTGGGGGCGTGTTAGAACGAGCCGTTTTAGGGGGGTGTGGCAGAGTCTTAACTTTGATAAAGAATATCTCTTTGGTTTTGAGACTTTAGTCTTTGCAACTTCAGGGATCTTATCTATTCACGAACAGCTTGTAACACTCCAAAGAGAAAGGAAAACTTGAAATCGCATCATATGACCCCTTTAAAAATTGTCCTGGCTCGTCCAAGCTTTATAATGGCATGGGCGGGTGTTTTTGTTCAACAGTCCAAAAGTAGTCAAATAAAGCGCATCCATCCATATTAAAACACGCATCACACGGCTCCAGGGGGTTAATAAAGGCCTCTTCGAAGTCTCGCGAAAACCAATGTTTGTTTACAGGAGCAAAGGAAGCAAAGTTTCCTTACTTTAGCAAAGGAAAACCAGTCTCCTCTTGGCTTATATCGAAATCCTCCTACATTTTTCTTTACAAATCCTCGTTGTGTGTTTCTAATTCGTGACCGGCATTTTGTTTTGTTCTCTCTCCGTCGCACTTCTGCGTTCGTCACTAATCACCGGCCTACGTCCTACGTCATCTGCCTGGAACGGCTTCCGCCTACGACAGTTAGCAGAAGTGAGAAAAAGGTGTTTATATCGTTTTAAATATGGATATTTGTCTTAAAAAACGCATGGATTCGCTTCCGGAGGCCTTTATTCACCCCCCGGAGCCATGTGAGGCACATTTTATTACGGATGCGCGCGCTTTATTTGACTACTTTTGGACTGTTGAACAGAAACGCATACCTTCTCCCATTCTAACGCTTGCAAGAGTCAGGACAATTTTTTATATAACTCCGATTGGATTCATCTGAAAGAAGAAAGTCATACACACCTCAGATGCTTTGACGGTAAGTAAAACACAGGCTAATTTTCATTTTTGGGTGAACTAACCCTTTAATAGAGTCTCTCAGGTCGGTTTAGTCTCTGGAGTGAAGCAGTTGAGAGAGGATGAGCTCTTCTGCCCTCTAGTGCTCATGAACTGACATCTCCACAGAGGATATCACACACAAGCGCTCATTTATAACACATTCATAGATGCAAACTCCTCACCTTTCAGTGACAACTCACTTTTTGAGATCAAAATAGGTCACCTATGAGATTTGCTTAGATCCAATGCGAAAGTGTTTTTATGAGTGGGGTATAGTATTTTCTTTACTCTTTACTTCAAAAGCTATGTCTAAAAAGGGTAATATGTTATGTATTTGAGGTCTGAAATGTGGGAACGGTGAAGAGAGAGAGGGCAAACATTTTGCATTTTAGGTCAGCAGTGCGGTCTAATCAGCCAATATTGTCTTTAATAGCCTGCATAGCACTTCATCTTTTAGAACATGGGATTTTAACCAAATATATTCAATCTTGATTTTTGTAAAATGTTGCAACAAGATGTTAAAAAAAATTTTTTTGTGTGTGAAAAATGACAGTTTTGGACATACAAGGTAATACAAAAATATTTAAAGAAATACCTTAAAGTAACTACAAATGAGCATGTAAAGCGAATATCTTTAAAAGAAAAAGAAATGTTCTCACCCTTTTCCCTCTTACTTGTTTGCATCTCTGACATGAACTCATTTATGTTTAAAAATGACAGAATTACCACCATCACAGGGTGATGCACAAAACACAGAGGATCAGTGCAAAGGTAACTAGAATCTGCTCCTAATGTACTATATAATCCTATAAAAACAATCGAATGCATCTTATTAATATATCATGTGCAGATTGTTAATGTTGTGTGTGTGTTTGCATCGAAGCTGCCGGCTGCTCTCAGAGCTGTTTTAACGGCTCTTGTGCCTGTTTGGAGGGATACAAGCTGAAGGTGGACGGGAAAACCTGCGAAGGTCAGTAAACATCCACTAATAAACCGGTTTTAATACGCTTCAGTATGTAAGAAGGTCTCTTCCAGAGTCTGAGGATGGTCAAGTGAATCCTCACTGTTTTGAGGTTCTCGATGTGCAGAACTCTCCCACTTGAAAAAGACAGCCCACTACATGAAGATTTCAACTGGATTTCACTCACTGACCACACTTTTGCTCTCCTTTTCCCTTCTTTATTTTGAAAGTTCAATGCAATGAGTCAATTTGTCAGTCAATTAGTCAGGGGAAAAACCTTTAAACACAAATACAAACACCACTTTAAGAACAAGCACAAGTAGATACAATCAAGTCAAGTCAAGTCACCTTTATTTATATAGTGCTTTTAACAATACAGATTGTGTCAAAGCAACTGTACAGTATTAAATAGGAAAATAGTGTCAATAATGCAAAATTACAATAGTAGACACTCAATTTTCAGTTAAAGGCAGTTCATCATTGAATTCAGTGATGTCATCATCCAGCTCAGTTCAGTTTAAATAGTCTCTGTGCAATCAAGTCAACGATATCGCTGGAAATGAAGTGTCCCCAACTAAGCAAGCCAGAGGCGACAGCGGCAAGGAACCAAAACTCCATCGGTGACAGAAATGGAGAAAAAACCTTGGGAGAAACCAGGCTCAGTCGGGGGGTCAGTTCTCCTCTGGCCAGATGAAGCAGTCAATTCGTGGCTGCAGCAAAGTCACATTGTGCAGAGGACTCAACTGCTTCTTGTGGTCTTGTCCCGGTGGCCATCTAGGAGACAAGGTCCTCACTGGGGATCTGTCTCTGGGGCTCATCTAGTTGTCCTGGTCTCCGCCGACATTCAGGGCTGTAGAGGTCCTCTCTAGGTGCTGATCCACCATCTGGGCTGGATACGTACTGGATCCGGGTGACTGCAGTGACCATTTGATCTGGATACAGACTGGATCTGGTGGCTACGGTGACCTCGGAATAAGAGAGAAACAGACTAATATTAGCGTAGATGCCATTCTTCTAACGATGTAGCAAGTACATCTGTTGTACATCGGGTGTTATGGGAAGTGTTCCCGGTTCCGGTTGTCCTAATTAATGCAGCCTAAATATCCTTTAACGGATTTGCAATCAAGCAAACACAAGATTTAAATCCTTGGTTTTAAATGATCATAGAGCACCATGTAAACAGACAGTTTGTGTGTGTCTGCAGACATGAACGAGTGTTTGCTGGGCTCTCATCAGTGCCGCGGGGGCGAGCGCTGCATCAACACGCTGGGATCGTACCGCTGTCAGAGGGTCATCAGCTGCGGGACAGGCTACGAACTCACCGACAACAACAAGTGTGAAGGTCAGACACACACACACTTTAACAAACTGCTAGGACTGCACGCTTTGGGAAGAAACCTAATTGTGATTTTTCTGGTAAAAATTGTGATTGTGATTGTGATTTAAAATGCGGTAAAAATTCTCCAGGTTTAATGTGTTTGTTTGTAGGATTGCACAGTTTGGTTAAAAAAATGTGTGATTATATATAATAATATACAGTAATAATTATTATTCAATTTTTATAATTATATATCATGAAAATTATTTACAAAATCATTAAAATATGGAATTAAATGTTGGATTTATGTGATTTAAAGAAAATAATCCAGGTTTAATGCTCGTTTGTAGGGCTGTAAAAAATGTTGTATTTATATATCAATATATTATTAATAGTAATAATATAATAATAATAGTACAATTATTACTATAAAATAATAATAATGACAACAACAAATCATATTAACAGTAATAACAAAATAACTATTACTATTGTAATATCTAA